TGTTAGCTCAGCAACAATCTTACTCAAGCAAAAAAAAAAGATTGGCAACAGATGTTAGCTCAGGAACAATCTTACTCAAGCAAAAAAAAAAAAAAAAAGGAGGAGGATTGGCAACAGATGTTAGCCCAGGGCCAATCTTCCTCACCAAAAAAAAAAAAAAATTAAAAAACAAAAACTATCTGAAGATAAACTAATCATGCACATACTCTGACTTCAAACTCATACTTGATACCAGATGTAGGTATCTCAACTATTGTTAAAATGAGCATGATACTAAATTTGGCTAAAAATGAGGCAGCTGGATTGTGGCTGGTTGTATTTTGATTTACAACTACGTGATATAATTTTCCATTTATTTTTGTCCTTACTCTTTACCCTCCTGGGCAGATAAAGCTAAGAGCAAAGAGCAGAGGCTTCATGTGACTTGCTGAATGGATGTTTCAACCCACAGGAGAGAATACATTCTTGAAAGCTATGGCTTTAAATTGCAAGAACCAGGATCTAAAGCAAGAACAGGGTTTTAATTCCAAAATCTTGGCCAAACTGTAGTAGACATGCCCAGGCTGAATGAGCTGTTTCTCAAGAGAAGACAGTCAGGATAGAGGACAGCAAGTGGGCCAGACGCCCTTCCCAAACACTTTCAGGGGTTCAGGAGCCCTAGAAAGAAGGGAAGGAGTAGGGACAGGGGACATCTGGATTGCCTGGGTTTACCTGACAGCGACCAAATTTCAATTGGTAGTTGAGTAAATAGTAAACTAGCTAGAATAGGCAAGGCTGCATTTTTCACATCTGAAAAATAGGGGCTTAAGATCTAAATTAATTTTGCTAATGATGAAATATAGAGGCAGTATTGTATCTCTGTTTGTATATGTCATACCTATTACACAGAGTTTCAATGAATACAATTTGATAAAGCATAGATGCTATTCTTTTTCACATCTGAAACCTAAAAGTGTATATTGTTTCCATTTGTTGATCACTTTTCCGAAATTCACTGTTAGAAAAAGTGAGCCACGAGCAGTACATGGTTTAGATTCTGGATAAAAGGATGAAGACTGAGACAAGAGCGAAGTTCAAGGACTCAGCCCTCACCTAATTCCATTAAAGACTTTGCAGTCACACTTTGTGTGAAAAGTAATTGATTGAAATATGAAGTAATGGAATATCTAGTCTTTCACATACTTTAGAATAGACAAAAATGCATGAAAGGAGTGTTCAGTGTGATAAAATTTAATTTTGTTTTGGATATTTATCAAAACTTCTGTACAATTTGGTTTTTAACATCCTTGCTAAATCTGATGTTCTCTATCCTGCAACAATGTGTACTCTTCTCACAATGCTTTTAAGGAACCAACTCCCTTCCAGATCTATCCCACTCATATAGAGTTACCTGAACTTGTTGAAACATTTGACATGTTTGAATGGACAAGATTCTTAATGGATAAAATTAGGAAATGTTTCCTGATACTTGGGACAAGTAAAGGAAAAAAAAAGAAGACAATTTTTCTATCTTGGATAGGAAATAAACAAGCTCATAGTAAGAGCCTGCAATGTTATTCAAATTGTTTGGGAGTTCGAAAGAAAAAATTAACAGAGAATGGTGATGAATGAAAAGGAGAGTGTCTTGTATTAGGTAGGGATTTCGACCATCCAGATACTGATTACACGCAGAAGTTTAAGATACATTGGCATGTAGTCAAATTGTCGTTGAGAAAATTTTTTATTTAAATAATTTAGATTTAGAGCTGTACACAATGGAATGACAAACTGGTACTAAAACCACAAAAAGAAGCTCACGCAAGCCTCAGAAAGAGAAAAGCTGAGTCCACAGAGGCCGTAAATGACAGCATCAAGCTGTCTTATCTTCAGATAGTTTACCCTCAAGTTCTCACATTCTCTTCAGCGCAGGAATATTCAAGTTTGTATAAGTTACGTGGAAACGAAATGGTGGAAAGTTTTCATTGATGCCAAGTGCAACTTAAATATGAAATCGGTGATCTCTGGGAAATTAATTTCAGCTCAGCTGTGACTCTTTCAGGTAGGATTCTTTACATAATAAGAAGAGATTTCTTAAATGACTTTAGGGGTAAAGGGGGTTGATTACAAGGATACATGTTCTTGAGTACTTAGGAAAAGTTGAACCAGGCCTGGGGAAGGACTTCATTGCAGAGCTCAGGCATTGCTCTCTCCTCTTTCCTGCTCTCAGTCTTGCTCTTGCTTCATTCTTTCCCTGTCTTCTCTCTCAGAGGTTACACATTCTCTCCCATGTATTCTTTTCATCATTCTCTCTCAAATGGCTTTCTCCGCATAATCATCTTGCACACACCATTGTGGCTGCCAGCCCTTTCTCTGTCTCTGCTCTTTAGTTAAGAGCCTGGCATCTACTGTATACTTTTTTCTATGGTTCTTAGTTCAAGTTTGCAAAAGGAAAGCTGAGCTAACCTCTACCTGGGCAGAGCCTATAGATTGGCCAAAAAGTTAATGAATGTCCACTCCGGTCCAAAAACAGGCAACTTTCCTCAACAATCTGAGTAAGAAGGGAACATTGATTGTGCTTGTGTTGCAGGGTATAAGATGTTAAAAAAGAAATAGGCCCAAAATGGAGTCACTTGTGCTGAGCCCCACATCAGCAAACCAAGACTTAATACCCAACCTAATGGTAGTGTCAGCCTCTCCCAGGAATGTGATCTTTAGCAGTCAGTCTAGAATTACCTGGTCTGCGCTAGGGAGGTAATCTGCCTCAGAGACCCCCACCTTCTCCCAAAGGAAGGTAAACTTGCCTGAAACAATCCAATCGTTGCTAGAAACTTCTTTTTCCCACTCCCTTCTGCCTATAAAACTCTTTCATTTTGTACAGCTCTTCAGAACTCCTTTCTATTAGCTAAGATGGGATACTGTCTGATTCATGAATCATTAAATAAAGCCAATTAGATCTCCAAATTTACTCCATTGAATTTTGTTTTTTACCAGAGGTAATAAGGGATAATAACAATGCAGCAAATTTTCATTGTTAAACACAGAAAAGTTTTGTTGCAGTGTGAAATCCAGAACACGGGTAAGAAAGAAGCATAGAAGAGTATTTAAGCACCTGTGCTCTGAAGTCAGATTACATGATTTGAATCAGAGCTCCACAAACCTATGCTCAACCTTCCTGAACCTGTGAAATGGCCATTGAAAGGGAACAGAATTTGTCACCCCAAAATATGCCTCTTTGGCCTAAGGATTATTTTAATAGGCTAATTTTGTGTGTGTGTGTGTGTGTGAGAGGAAGATTAGCCCTGAGCTAACATCCATGGCCAATCCTCCTCTTTTTGCTGGGGAAGATTGTCCCTAGGCTAACATCCGTGCCCATCTTCCTCTACTTTATACGTGAGGTGCCTGCCACAGCATGGCTTGACAAGCAGTGAGTAGGTCCACTCCCGATCCGAACCTGCGAATCTCGAGCGGCAAAGCAGAGCATGAGAACTTAACCATTAGACCACCGGGCCGGCCCCCTAGGCTGATTATTTTTAAGAAACAGCAGACACAAGAGAAGCTCTGAAAACTGAGTAGAAATTATCTTTTTGTGAGGGACATTGACATTTATTAGGGAAATCTTCATTTGTAAAGGTGTCTCCCTCTCTGAACCAGGAAGAGTAGAATACCTAAATCTCTAGAAACTTATCAATGGAGAAGGCTAGGACCTAAATCTGCATGACAACCTTATCCTTGTTTACTGTGCTTTTCCAGATTGCCTCCCACACCTGGCTTCCCCACCCTCTAACATCTTCTTTTGCCTTTAGCTGGAAATGTTATTTAAGTTGGTGGCTTGAGCAATTTCGGGGAGTTACTCAGTTTTCCTGGGTATCTCCCATGTATACAGGAGGTATACATGTCATTAAACTTCTGTTTGTTTTTCTCCTGTTAATCTGTCTTTTAATTACAGGGTGGTCTTAGCCAAGAATTTAGAAGCATAGAGAGAAAATTATTTTTCCTCTCTACACCATACAGAGAGGACTTTCCACATAAGCTAGTTGTGAGAATTAAATGAGATAATTTATGTCAGACACTTAATAATTATTCAATGAATATTAAAAACACACAAGAGGAAAAGTTATCCCTTACACAGAGGTCAAAGGAAAGAAGCAATGACAATTGAAGGCACAAAGACAATCTGAGATGGAAAAAACAAGAAACTGAAAGATTTTCTGATCAAATGACTTCAGCCTTCATGGCTAAGTAGATTCTGCCATCTTGTGAAATCTCTAGTGATCTTAGTCTGATATGACCATAATTCCATTACGGAAATACGTAGAGTTAACCTCAATGATAGCAATCCACAGCAGAGCAAGCTGAGTAATATTAAGTATTTACAAATTGTGTAAAATAATAATAATAATATAAAAGGAATAAACACAATAGTTAACATTTATGGAAGGTTTGCTGTGTGTGGGGCCTGTCTTAAGTGCTTTATATATATTTATATGTATTAACCATTTACCACTTATATCAAACCTAGGAATTTTTATTATCATGATTTTAGGGAAAAAGAAACTGAGGTACAGAGAGTTTAAATAATTGATCAAAATTGCAAAGCTAGCAAGTAGCTGAGGCAGAGTTCACATACTGACATTCTGCAATAGACAATACAATATATTGCCTCTCTAATCAGAGAGAACTTCAACAGCCCTCAGATTTTTTTAGTAAATATACTGACAATGCGGATGAAATAATTTGAAGACAAGAAACAAACTGAAAAAAAAGTTCATTTTACTAAGTAACAATGTAATGATAAAAATATAATGTTTTAAAAACGTATAACTGGAAAAAAAAAGTATTTCTTTAAACTGATTACAAAAAGAATCCTGACAAGTAAAAGAAATAGTTATTCAGAAACAGTAATTCTGAAATCTTAGTGTGAGTTGTTTCCTTTGTCTGTTTCCTCCATAATAGAAACGGCTTTTGAAGAGTTTGGCGAAATTAGCCTAAAGAGAATTGGAGTGACCTAAACAGGAAGCCCGGTTATTCCCAGTGCCAGAGATCGCGGAGCTGGCTCTGAGGCTCTCTCTGCTCCAACAGACAGGGGCGACTCTGGGCTGGATAATCGTCAAATTCTTACCTCGCCCTTTCACTGCGGGCAGGATCAGATTGCATTTCTTTCATTACTCTTCACTTCCCAGTTTCTTGATCTATTTAAAAGAAGCAGCAGAAAAGATAAATTCTCTCTTCAGTGCCTGGAAGGGAAAACAAAATAACCTCAACTCCGCTTTGAAAAAAATCTTTCCAAGAACTTTCTTCAGAGATTTTACTCGTGAGTACTTTACAATATACTTTCTAGCCCATGAGAAATAACTTTTATTTCTTTTTCTTGGGGGAAAAACAGGGTACTGAAAAGTAAAGAGGGGTAAGGGAAGACCACTGTCTGTAACCCTGAAATGAAAATCGACTCTTCTCTGTAAACAAAGTAAACTCATTCTGCAAGGCAAGTTCTCAGCACTTTACATTTAGTTCTTAAACAAGTATATATGCAATTTATGTTATGCTTTTGAGATCATAACATTTTTATAAGAAGTTAGTCAGATGTAGCCTTTTTTATAATTTTAAGCTCATAGTGGCAATTATTTACTAATTGTGTCTGTTTAGTTGGAATTTTCTGAAGATTTGGTTTACTTTCAAATATTATTTAGTAATGTGTAGAAAAATATAATAAAGATTGTCTGAGAGCCTTACGTTTAAACAAACTTCTTTCATTGCATTAATTGGTGATATTTAAAATGAGATATAAACATTAGAATTCTTGTAATCCAAATTAAATGTTTTATACCAGCATTAACTAATCTCTCTAAGGAAATGTTTTACAAGTCTCCAAAGCTCAAAGCTCATATTCTAAGATACTTAATTAAGAATATATATGATCAAGTCTATATGTAGTACAATTATGTAAATTAAAGCAATAGGTTACATACCTACACGATGTACTGTCATGCTCTTCTTGGTTATGAAACGATATTAAACGTTGCTTCTGATGGTAAAAGAAAGCACATAACATAGATGTACACAACCACAGAACTATAGTGAGACAAACAATTGTTTAATTATGGAAGAAGCTTATTTGAATAAGAGTATTCCCAAAAAATAAGGCACAAGAGCAGTACCCTGTAGAAAAAAAGAGAAGATAAGCCACAGCCACACTGTGACTCAGTGCTCTGGAAATTAGTCACAAAATGACTTTGTGTAATACATGATAACATAAACACAAAGGGCAGAACCCAAGCAGGAAACATACAGCTCAGAGTCATATTTTATGTGTAAAAGCATAATATTTACGTCAAAGGGAAAAGTTGTGTCAATTTTGAGATACTGCAAAGTTTTTGAACCTAACAAAATCCTTTCATAAAACATTTTTAGGATTTTTTTAAATTCATCGTTCTAGTGCATACTTATTTCAAGACATATTATCTATATCTCATCTACTCCTTAAACTAAACAGTGAATTAACTCTGAAAATTTGTTGGAGTATGAAAATTTAATTTGTGCCTGTAAGCTAATAAAATGATATAAAGTATTCATAGGGATCAACAGAGATTAAAAAATATTAATGTAAATATAGATAATTAACATTATAGATGTAAAACTTTAAAATACCTACTTTTAACAATTTGAATAGTTGTATTGGAAAATCAGATCTGTCTTCTTTAGGTGACCATGGAATCTTGTTGGAGAACTTTAATGACTTTTATACCGTTATTTGGTTCCTCTCTCTATTAACTATGCTGAATTGGACAAGTTGGTTTTTTTAAAGTCACAGTCTGATATCTTTAAGCATTTATTTTACCTCTAGTGACTAGATCAAAACCCCTTTGGGAAATATGGCTCCTATTCAAATGGCTTATGCCGTCAGTTGGTACTTGCTGGTCTGATTGATTGTCTGTAACTCTAGGCTTTGTTTGTTTGTTGGTTGTACAACTATTTTTTTTTTTTGTGAGGAAGATCGGCCCTGAGCTAACATCTGTCAATCCTCCTCTTTTTGCTGAGGAAGACTGGCTCTGGGCTAACATCTATGCCCATCTTCCTCCACTTTCTATGGGACACCGCCACAGCATGGCCTGACAAGCAGTGTGTCAGTGCGTGCCCGGATCCGAACCGGCGAACCCCGGGCTGCCACAGCGGAGTGCAGGCACTTAACCGTTTGCGCCACTGGGCCGGCCCGGTTTTACAACTATTTTGACTAGAATCTTCTATTGTGAACATTATCACTAAGTTTAGAAATAATCTATTAAATGGAAAATTGTTTTTGTATTAAACTATAGTTTTCATAACACTAATTTACTCCTTCCTTAAGAATTAATTTCCTAATCTTAGTTATCTACATTATTCAAATTCAAAAGATAATTGGACAGGATGACAAACTACTGGAAGGCCGAGATCAAAAGATTTTATTTATTCCTGGAATACCTAGCAATCTAACCAGATAGTAAATGTACCATAGATTCTTTAGGAATGGTTAGTTCATTAAATTCAGTGTCACAAACTTTTAAGACAGATTTCAACTGATATCTCTACCTAATAGAAGAAAAAAATGCCAAGTAAACATCCTTGCCAACAAAAAGGCAGGAGAAACAATGTAAAAGGGGAAGGAAGTACTTAGAATAGGGTTTTCAAAAAAAAATCTTATTTATTAGTATAAATTAAATAAGTTGAATGATGATATTGATTAAAACGGATTAATTATATTACCAATTTATTTTTGCTATGTAGGTACTATCTAAGAACTGTACCACAATCCAACCCATCTATTCTCAATAAAGGCCGTCTCCAGCCACCTTTGTTTAGTTTACCATCTAAAACATCTAACTTGGGGAATTCAATTTGCAGAGTTTTGTTTTGTTTTGTTTTGTGAGGAAGATTAGCCCTGAGCTAACATCTGTTGCTAATCCTCCTCTTTTTGCTGATGAAGATTGGTCCTGGGCTAACATCTGTGCCCATTTTCCTTCACTTTATATGTGGGACAACTGCCACAGCATGGCTTGATAAGTGGTATGTAGGTCCGCACCCGGGATCCAAAGCTGCGAACCCCAGGCCGCTGAAGCGGAGTGCACACACTTAAACACCCACCACCAGGCCAGCCCCCAGAGTTACCTTTTTAAAAACAAAAATATGTTTAAATGCATTACACCTTGCCAATACTATAATTCTTTCTGATTGTTACCACGTGCGTTAGGAGAAATATGAATTCAAGACATGAAGTGACTATTTAAGTCCTTGTTTCTGGATATTAAATTTCACCAAAGTGAAGAAAGGGTGCAAGTTATTCCAGAGAGTTCTTTTCACGCTAGACCATCTCTCTTGGGTCTCTGAGATCCTCAACAACTGCTTTCTTGGTGTGATATATCGTTTCCAGGAGCCCAGCCTCTCCACCACCCTTCTCTCTCTGTCTTCACTTCTCCGAGTGGCAGGTGCCATGTAGAATCAGAGCCTAAGATTCAACTACCAAAGGCTGAGGGTCCTAGTCATTTCCACTAGTCTTTTTTTCCAGAATCAATAACAAAAAGCACTGGACTCACGTCAAATCTGCTATGTTAGTCTCTCTTCAGGCCTTTCTTTGGGATTCTGTATTTTCTCTTAGTTGGAACAGCCACACTTTAAAATTACTTTAAAAACAAAAGAGTAAAAAGACTCAATGGTCCTTAGTAGAAGTCCCAATCCTGCGATATTTCTATCCCAATTGTTCCGTCTGGACCACAGTTCCCTGGGGAGACATAGACTTATTGCAAGGAATTCCTCGATCAAAACGTGATGACAGCATTCTCTCTAGACGTAATTAAATATTATATATTGTCGCTTAGGCTATTTCAGCATCACGAATGTGAAAGTATCAATCAATATGGCACTGATATAATTTAGTGTTTTTATTACCAAACATAGTGTGCCCCTGCCACCCTTCAACTGTACCACTCTTTCAGTGCCAACACCACTCTGCCACCAATCTCAATCTCTCTCTCCTGTTTATGATTCTTAGCAGCATCTATCCCATCCTTGAATCTCATAACAACTCATCTCTAAGCATCACCTCATTACTCATCTCACAAGGCTTAGAAATAGAGTAAATCTCAGTAATGGGATGAGTCTCCAGAATAACACTGTTTGTTGCATTTTTAAATTTCATTTAGGAAACTTCAAAGTATCACAGAAAATGAATCAAAAGGATTATATCAAAATAGCATACGCCTACTCTGGCTCATTCTTGTGCAACTGATTTCAAATAAACATGAATACGAAATTAATGAATTTCTGACTCATGCTACATGAATGAAACTTGAAAACATTATGCTAAGTGAAATAAGCCAGACACAAAACAACAAATAGTGTATAATTCCACTTACATGGAATATCTAGAACAGGCAAATTCATAGAGACTGAAAGTAGATTAGAGGTTACCAGAGTCTGGAGGAAGGAATGAATGGTGAGTTATTGCTTAGTGGATAAAGAGTTTCTGTTGGGGTCATGAAAAATTTTGGAAATAGATAGTTGTGATTGCACCACATTGTGAATATAATTAATGCCACTGAGTTGTACACTTAAAAGTGGTTAAAATAACAAATTTCATGGTATATCTATTATTTTACCACAACAAAAAATAGTAAAACTATTATTAAGAATTCTGTTTGAAGAATTCTATATTCCCAATGATATTCTCTTTATATTTTATCAATTAATAGAATAAAAAGCATAAATATTATAATGTAGGGATACTTGAATTTTTAAAAATGAAAACAGGATCTTTCTGTTTTGTTTCCTGATGAAAATTGGAACATATTTTTTACCTGATATGGCTGTACTGGAGGCTAAGGTTTTTCATTCATAATGTCTTTTTTTGGCTTTGGTTTCAGGGTAATTCAGGCCTCACAGAATGAGTTGGCAAGTAGTCCCCCCCTTCTGTTAAATTTTCTGGAAAAGTTAATGTAAAATTGGTATTATTTCTTCTGTAAATGTTTGGTAGAATTCACCAGTGAAACCATCTGGGGCTGAATTTCTTGGTGAGAAAGTTCGTAATTACAAAATTCAGTTTTTAAAAAATAATTATAGGGCTATTCAGGTTATCTGTTTCTTCTTGAGTGAGCTTTGGTAGTTTATGTCTTTCAAGAAATTGGTCCATTTCCTCTAAGTTGTCAAATTTATTGGCAAAAAGTTGTTAATAGTGTTTCATTATACTAGAATCTGTAATGATGTGAAACCTCTAGTTCTTTTTTTTTGTTAATTTTTTGTTTATTGCAGTAACATTGGTTTATGACATTGTAAAAATTTCAGGTG